GCGCTAGCTACATGTAAATACAAGGCAAATTATCAAGGAAACAAATGTCGTGGTTCCACTTAATGTAAAAATACTTGATAGTAATTATTATTACTTGCAAATATTTGCAATTTCAGTTTGATATTCTCTTCCATGATAGGTATTGAAGATTTATGTACAAAGAGAGATGAGTTACAGAAACAGATTCTGTCAGAAGAGGAAGAAAAGACAAAGATACAAAATGACATCAGAATTTTAACAGAAAGACTGGCTAAAATCAATGAGGGTCTCGCTAGGAAAATTGCTTCAAGAAATGAATATGACAAGACAATAGCTGAAACTGAAGCAGCTTATATGAAGGTAGAATGAGTATTAATAATGTGTATTCTTAAAAAATATTTTGCATCTTCATGTCTGTTGATAGGTACTCTGCGAACAGACGTACTTTTCTCACCCGCCGAAAAGCTTTTCGGCGGGTGAGAAAAGTACCTCTGTTCGCAGAGTAGTTGATAGGCATGATTTGCCAGCCTTCTTGACTAAAAAACCCTGAAATATTATACTTAAAAAAGGTTTTGGATGAACAATTCTATCTGATCCTCTATATTAGAGAATGAACGAAACTATCACGTAAGAGAACTAAGCTTGCTTCTCCAATTTTCTATACATTTCTGGGAAGCTTTGCAATTTTACGCCACAAAATCGGCCAACTCAAATTCCAAAAATAACCAAACTCTCTGAAAAAATTGAAATTAAGAGACAGATTAATTAGAGTTTAGAGTTCATAAGGTTTCCAAGGGACTTGGATATGGTTTACAAATGCTTATAAACATACATTGCAATTGTCATTTTTTACAGATTCTGGAAAGTTCTCAGACTTTGCTTCACGTGCTGAAGAATGAAACGTCCAAGGAAAAGTCTCCATTGTCACGAAGTCAGAACACAATGAGAGAAAAATCACGAGAACAACAAACAAGCAGTTGAATCCTTATTTCTCCTTACTGTAATTACTAAAAATCATTTCTATACAAAATGTAAATGAACTACATATAAAATAATGTTTTCTTCTTTTTATATAATAAAAATAACATTTTCTGCTCATTACTAGTTACTAGTAGATTGTATTTTAGAGTACAAACACTAAAACTGTGCAACATAAATACCACTAAATACTGCTAAATTATGCTAATTCTATTGTTTTCTATTGTTTAATCAACACTATTTTGTAGTAATTAGTGGAAAGTGTTGCACACATTTAATGTTTGTACTCTATCAGAAAAAAATAGTGCTTCCACTTAGCCATGGATAATACATTTCTCGATTAGGCAGTAGATAATACTAGAGTAGACACACTTTATCTTATGTATGAAACAGATAATAATGGTGTGATTGGACAATTGGAGGCAAATGAATTAGCATCTATTTTGTACTACTTAAAGTGCTACTTGCATGAAAATGGTCTTATTTCAAAACTTCAAGCAATACAAGTATATGACTCATATATATATCTATTAAAAACAATTGCTGGAAAATATTTGTTTTGGAATAATCCCACGTCAGAGAAAATTTGATTCAAAAGATGGAAGAAGAAAAGGATGGAGTAAATGATGTCATCTACTCCAACATTTTTTGCCCAAATTATTAAGGATTTGTATCAATATCTTCTTGAAATCTGTTGCTTCATGATTATTAGACCCATATGGATAGGTCTATTTGATTTCCAAGTCTTTTCTAATGTTCCGAATTTTCGTCCAAAGTGCATTTACTCTAAATTATTACATAGCATGCTTAGTATGGTTTGTACAGAATTCAATTGAAGTCAATTTTTCCCCTGCTATCAAACATTGAACAACCCAATAATCCCATTTTTGATGATGTTAGCCTACGCAGTGGCCATTGGGGAGGGCCGAGCAGAGAATGAGGACGAGAAAAAGGAATCCTCAACCCCTGTGTAGAGCCGCTACACAGGCTAGATGATGTTGAATGTTATTAGATGAGGCAGTCAGCCGTAAATGGAGTTTGATGACATTTTTCCCTCAGAATTTGAAGAATCCACAAGAACTCATTGGTGTTTCTTCTGCCAGGCAAAATATAAATAAACTCAAGTTTTAAATAATTTTTCATTGTCATTAGAACTTTATTTTTGTTCTTTACCAGTTGACAATGAAACACAGCTCTATTTACTGCAGCAATAACCAGTAATGTAATCTTTGCAGAATTACATTAGCTGAAGTGTAATCAGTCATCCAACTAGTTTAAAATCCACATGCCAATGATAGTTTAACCACTTTGAAGAGAGCTCCCTTGATAGTTGATCGTAATCCAATATGACATGCAGCAATTTTGTAGTATCATGAAAAGCAATTCCCATGCGGACCATTACTTTGTTCACTGATTATACAATCCCTCTTTTCAAGTCACCTTGGTTTCTTTAAAACTTTCCAGTCTGTTTTACGTTTATTTTTTGGTCGATATGARTAAGGTTTGTTCTTGTTGCGTTCGCTTTCTTCAAGAAGTGGGTGCTTGCTTCTACCAGTTAAATTAACATCATCRTTGTARCTTGAACTTTCCATTMGTCTTAGYTTGGCTTCTATGGCTTGTATCTTTGAATCATTACTGGAAAAGAAGCATTTTTAAATAATATAAATAAATAATAAATAAAAATTTTTGAATAAAAATCCTATGGATTATGGCTGTAGTCAGTTGAAGTTGAAATTTTGTTAAATGTTAAGTCTGAAATTCCTTGTATCAAGATAACCAGGAAATAAAAATAAAAACCACATTTGGGGATGCAAGGTGATGTTTTTCTCTGGAGTATATGTACTTGGTGAAGCTGTAAAATTATATACAAGGAATGAAATTACAGAAATGTGAGTCATACCTAACCAATGAAAGTGATCCATAACATGGTGGCTTTGTGTCTTCTGACGACTTGGTCTTTTTTTCCTATAAATCAAAGCAAATGAGACTCACTTAGTCTCCTCCCCAGGCAACTCTTTTTTTCGCGTTTGGGCTTCCTTTGTAACGGTCATCTTGGAAAGAAAACAAAAAAGACAGGAAGCCCATGATTATTAGTGATGCCTGCAGAGGAGGCTAAAGGCTGATTTACACGGCACGATTGTCTCGTGCGATTTGTAGTATACGACTTGAATCACGCAGTGTAAATGCCCTTACGACTTGTCTACAACAGTCGTACGCAACCTACGACTTGTAGTAGGTTTTTGAACCACTGCTTAAAATCCTACGACTTGTAGTAGGAAAATCGTATACTACAAGTCGCTCGCAACAAATCGTACCGTGTAAATCAGCCTTAAGACTCACTCAAATTACACTAGTATGCTCCATTATTAGTATGCTGACATCTCAGCATGGTACAGAAGAACCTGCTTTGTTTTGTTTTCTTGATGTTTTATTTTAATGTTGTTCAAAAAAAACTATTTTCTCTTGGTTAGTTATGTATTACTTTTCTCTCTAAAAGCTTGGTTTAGTGGAAGAGRAATTTAGCATTTATAYAAATGYGTAAAGCAAACCTCTGGAAGTGTTTTGCTTTGATCTTCTTTGGCCCAATGAACGGCTAATGCTCTTGATAAAGCCATCTTGCCATTTAAACCTTGAAGAGCTTTWAGTGCTTCCTAAAGGTGAATGTAACAGATTATTGTCATGAATCAAAAGGTTAGTTTAGATAACTTATGCTAAACCATTTAACTCTGGGATTGTGAATTTTTGCTAGAAAATGTGTTTATTTAAATTWTTGYGATTAAGMTTGTCAAGAATATTTTATAAAGTRCATATATCAATCACTTGTGATATCRTTAATATTTCACCTCTCTTGTGKCATATTCTACAAAGCAATATCCCCTTGGTTCCCCTTTCAAAGGTCCACTTGTGTGAAAGAGATACTCAAAATACTTTATCTCGCCAAACTTTTGAAGAATCTTCAACAGATTGTACCTGAAATGTTAAGATCATAATACATAACTAATTAATCAACAATGCCATGTCATTGAATGTAAGACCAGAATAACCAAAGACTCTTGAATACATCATAAGTTACTAGATAAAATATTTTACGCGCAAAGTGTATAAGTTTTAATAACAATATTTGGGATTTTGTTGAGCTGAATGAATACATACTCGCTTAATCTCTTGTCGATGTTTCCAACCCAAAGTCGATGTTGAATAATGTTTCCTTGGTCTTTTGATGCCGGTTCTGATTCCCCCTGAATGAAAATATGCACAAGATAAGGGGGTTATATAAAGCTTAACTTGCATGCACCATCTTAACTTTGACAACTAAAATTCAATTTTTCATGGCTATTTAGACTTGAATCACAAGAAATGTTAATCCCAAAATCTGTGTTCTTGTAATTCTATATTCTAACCGCAACTTCTGAAGGTTTCAAATCATTGCATGCAATACAAGACAAGAATCTGAAACAAAACAAATGGAATGAAAGCTCTAATTTGTTTACCTCGTCCGCCATCTTTGATTTCGACCCACGCCTTCGCAGTTGGCATTCATACAGGAATCCCGTCGAATGGTTGTCTCATTCATTTCCCATTTCGCTGTTTTTGCTYTCTCATCTTTCCTTCTTCTTAAGAGAGAAATAATCACGTTTGATATAAATAATACTTAGATGTGAGATATTAGTGCTTGAAAAACTTTAATTGTAGTTCCAAGTATGACAAGTTTTTCTATCTAAAAAGCAATTCAGCAGGGAAAATTGCATTTTGCCACAATTTAGATTTTGTAACTCTATTTCTTTAATTTTGCTATTAGTTTAAGATAGACTGTCGAGTTAAAGGAGGTCATTTTAAATAAATACAGCTTTAATATTTGGTACCTGCTGAAGTATTGCCTATCATTGGCTTGACGGCACGCGCGTATAAATTAGCGCGCTTTTGAAACACGTTGAATTGAAAAATTAAAATACCAAAAMATTGAATTTCATATCACAATTTTAACCCTTTGATGGYTTACTKTTAAACATAGGTCTTTCATGTGTTTATTCAATCCAGGGAAACTATAAAAAAGAAAATTCTGTGTTTTTACTGTTGTACAAGCGTGTGTTTTGGTTTACTGAACATCTTATGCATATTCATGCGACAACAAATTGATACAAAAATCAATACGACTCATTTCTAAATATAACATTCATAACATGTAAGCTTTTGTTTATGACGAGTGTAACTACATCCATGCATGTCTGAGAAATTACTAAACTGGACACGAATGGAAAAGAAATTCCCAGAACTCAACGAAAAGCAGTTGAGAACACTGAGAAAGTTGTTACTTGACCAAGCGGACAGAGGAAAATGGGAAAATGGAGGCAATGTAGATAATGAGGTAGCTATTATCAAATTTAACGAGTATATTCTTTTTATATATCTGTAAGTTGCTCCAAAAAAGTTACAAATGAAAGTGAATTGTTATGATTAAGAAACATTTTTCTTTCCGATTCATTTTGCCGGCATTTTGTGTCTGAGTTGTGAATCGGATGAACCGCGTCTTTTTTAAAAAAAGTCATAATTAATTGTGTGAAATTTAAGTGAAAAGCCCCTGATTTTAAAATTTGCTTCTTTTACCTTTTTTTCCGCTTTGCAATGTTAAAAAGCCAGAGCATTTCTTCCTCGTTGTCACTCTTGGGGGAGGGATAGGGGGTTTAGATTGCGTTCGCATCACAAGTGACTTTTTTGCGTCCAAATATCAGGGAAATAGTTTTTTATTATGGGTGTTTATAATAGACAGCTTGCATATGTCAAAATCATCTGGATTAGACTCTATTTGCAATTGTACTTGTTACAGTAATGGTTCGACAGCAGAGAAGAATGAGCAAACAAATTGAGAATGACGTCAGAGTTACGAAAGACCTGTGTTTAAAAATACTGAAACATGTTAAAAATGTTTGCACTACCACTAAAATGTCAAGCCAGAACATTATAATCAAGTAAAAATACTTTTTTGTGATATAGTATATTCAACTAAATGTTCGTTATTACTTTACTTTACGATGTTCATCTAAACATATGAACCATAATAGCTTGGAATGTTTTCCTTCAGAATGTTTATAATTGGCATGGCAACGCCAACTCGATTGGAYGAACTGTAGAACATGTGACGTCACGATYAAGTGTTCGATTCAAATTCCTTCGGATGAGAAATCAACATGTTCATRCTTGCTCGTTGAAGCGTCACTGAAGCCGATATTTTTCTCTATTTTCAAACCRAAATCAGCCTATATTTGAAYATWTTCGAACACTTATCTAGAAGCACTTATTATCTTTGAAATTTCTGAGATTCAGGTGGTGTTAAAAGTTATAAATTCTTTGTGYTTAACCAAGTTGTAAGATGTCTCTCGTAAGTGACAATTATTCAACTTCTAATTGACTTCTCATGTTCTTTTATGACTTCTACATTGATTTGCACGCTTGTTTAAAGACTTGTTAGAAGTGTTACTTTCACGAAAAAGGTTTCACGCTCTGATTTTTTAACTGTAAAATTGTTGTATTTAAGACTCRATCTCCAAGAGRTGCCTTCCARTTCAAAACGCCGATGAAGTTTGATCCAGCCGCGGCTTCAAAGCCTTCACCATCYAGAGACGAAATATGGAGGMAAGAGTTAGGATTTGGAGGTAATAACTTTGGCTYACTTCWACSTAGTATTAGCTGTTTTTSCTGTGAAGTTTTGTAGTCTTTTTTTAAAGAAAACGTTTGATTTTTTTATAGATTCGGAAGACGATTTATCTAATACAGATGATGAGCCAGAAGTTGATCAAGTACTTGCTGATAAAGGTTATTCATTAAGATATCAAAACATATCTCTATAGTAAATAAATGTAATTTAATATATATAATGTTATTGATATGGCATGTGTTGAGTAAATTGAGAGTAATATACTTAATATTCTTGATGATTAAGAATAGAGCATATATTATTACAGGAAAAATTTAATCAATTATTGATTGAATTTTTCCTGTTATTACAAGCTGGGCTGTCTGAGCAGGAGAGCTGAAATTATGCTTGGGTCCAATATTCATCAATTCAGGAATCAGTACTAGAATTTATTGAGTCGACATAATTGTAGCTTTCTAATTGCAAAAGCTGGGGAGAGCTATACCTCATCGCTAGCAACTCTCCCCTCCCTCATTCCCTCTCTCCTGTAAAGTATCTCTCCATGCTGTCCATGAGCTTAGGATAATACTATTTCTTTGAAAAAAAAAGCAATTCTCATAATATTTTGCTTTTACTTTGAAAAAAAAAAACAATTCTCATAATATTTTGCTATTAACTACATTTGCTTGATTTTGAAAAATATGAATATTTGAAAAAAAGAAAAAATAATAACTGTCTAAATGCATGTCCTATATTATGTAAAGCGTCTTTGGTTGAGGTGCAAGCCCTACAGACTGAACTTAAACAGAAGGAACAACAGAGAGAGGAACTACTAACAAAACTCAAGGTAATCTGTCTAAAAGTATAAGAACTAGCGTATTAGGTCATAGTATGGGCATGAGGAGGATAATTCATGAGGRGTGGTACKGAGTGCAAAATTGCACAAGTATTGTTTTGAATTCACACTGAAAAYGTGTTACYCTATTGATTTGACAAATAAAGTCTCATACATCAAAGACTATGTCTGCTAAGAAGGGGGAGAGATTCCAGGATCCATGAAACCTMTTGAACAATCCATAGTGTCWGACGGTGATTACCAACTGCAAATAATATTGTTTKATTATCTTATTGTKCACAGACTCTATCAGAAAAGACAACAAACTACAAAACCAAGTTACAAAAAGCAGAGCAAAGTAAAAAGTCGCAGATCAAAATCATGAAAAAGACACAGGAATCCCAGTTACAAATGAAAGCGGAACTYATCTACAACCTTGAAGAGCTGATAGAAGAACAAGAAACGAAGATATCAGAATTGGAATCTAGGATCAAAGGAGGCACAGTTTCACCTACTCCTGCTGCTGGGAAGGCATCAAGTATAAAAAAGCTGGTCGACTCAATCAATGACTTGCATTCAGAGAAAAATAGAATTTATGAAACATGGTTGTCCACCCAATCWGAACTYGAAACYGTAAGACAGGAACACAAAGTTGACTTAGAGAAATTAAAGTGGGAATTGTCAGACATGGAAAGCAAGAACAGAAAATTACAYGTAGACAATGTCAAATTACAAGGGGGTGGGAATGTAAGTACCAGTATTAGGYAATCAATATACAGTCMACTCTCGMCTTAYRGACACCCCSTTATAACRGACACCTCAATATTGYGGACARTAAAATACTGAATCCCTGGYGAAAAATACAAAGAAATGMCTGAAAGTAACTCTWRTTACTAYGGATTCTCACTACTGCGGACACAAAATTATAGTCCCRAGGGTGTCYGTAATARYGYGAGTTGACTGTACCACTCATATCCATTCTCTTAACCAGGACTTCTCATTTTCCTAATGGAAAAYATAAGTCTCTGGTTGGAGGTGATACCATAAGACCCAGAGTCTGGGTTTTGCGTATGTTTTTGAGCCAATCAAATGAAAGACTTTGCATCCATTTTCATGTCAGGAGGGATTGGAAGCCTGACATGAAAATGAATGCGAAGGAGACTAATCAAAGACTCAATCGTCTCCAATTAGAGCATTTGATTTTTTGTCGGAAAAATTAAGAATGATCTGGGTGTAAGAATGGCCATATTGCCAATGCCAGAGTGGATACCCACATAAACCCTTACTCTGACTTGTAACCACTCAAGCAGATATTTCCCATTGGAGGCTCTTGGAAATCAAAAAAACAGGAAATCTAGCTTTTTCACTGAGCTTCACTATTTTGCTATTTGAAATGTGGCTTGAAATCACAGAGTTTCCCATAGCTTCCTATGAGKTTACAGTACTCCTGCATATCTTTGGGTTGCTTTGAGAAATAGAAATGGTAAAAAAGCAAAGATTCAAGCTAGCCAACGTAGCTTCACTGAAGGTGTTTCAGCCAGAGTGACTTCTAAGGACCTGGAACTGATACATGATGCATGCTGCTTAATCTGTCTTATGTTTATGCAAGACAAAAAGCAAGGCTGACATGTAATGCAGTACTTATGCTATCAAGTTCTTCATAGGTTGTAYTGGAGAATAACAACAACATCAAACAACAACAACTTCAGGAAGAAAACGATGTTCTGAAAGCTAAAGTCAGGGATCTTGAGCAAGAACTCAACACCCATGAGGCRGCAGCTAAGGAAAGTAAAAAGAAAACAGATTTAGAAATGATGGAATTAAGAAAGAAACTGAGAGACACCGAGACAAAGTATACTAACTTGGCCAGTACTCCTCCAAAGGTATTAGACTGCTAGTAACTTGTTCGAAACTTGTAGAAATATTTTTTTTTCTTTTCTTGCTTAATCCTTTTGTTACATGTAACTTTCTATGTGACTTTTTTGTATGCTTACTTGTTTACAACTCCTCGTTTGGCAACGTGCTTGATTTGTCAATGTTTTTTCTTAGTTTGCTGCAAAAAGCGATAAGTTCCTTTTTTGGTTAGTGCCTGTTTAGCTAAATTCTCCTTGATATTTAACCACAGGTGAGAACAGTTTCCATCGTCTCAGAAGAAACACAGAAACAACTCGATGAAATGATTCAGCAAAACAARCAACTAGAAAACTTGCTGGGAACAACAAGGCGAGAGCTGAGCGCGAAGGTAKRTCAAMGAGCTTAACATTTATCATATGTTTGGAGTGGCCATRGAGAAGGGTTGGKCTGTTTTCATGTCTTCCAAACTTATCTAAATGCTAAYCAACTCTATTATTTACATGACTTTGGTTGTTTTTTTAGAATACAGCATTRCAAGCCGAACTCAAGTCATTAAAATCAACAAACCTYGAGCTGACAACAAGAGAACAGAAGACAATGGCGGAATGTCGTRGCTTGAAAGACTCTTTGAAAAACGCCCAAAAACTAGAACGGTCGCTGCGCGAAAAGGATGAAAAAGTAAAATCGATGGAAGGGGAGGTAAGAATGGTRGAAAAAATAATTAYAGCACTGAGAAAATGCAAGCAGGAAGTTGTTTATTTCTTTACCATTGCTTGATAACTTAAAGTGTGTCACGTTTCGTGGAAATATTACTTTTTGACTTAAATCATTAAATATCAAAAATCTGTCACACACTTTTTTAGTTCAATTATTGATAAAGAATTCCTGAGAATTATACGAAAAGACATTGAAAAYATGCCGAGTTATAGCGTGGAAGAATTCGAGAAGCAAAAATACTTTCGAAATATGAGGCGCGTAATTAACGAGATCTAGTTCAGAAAAGTCGAACAAGACCAAAAATTCAAGTATGTAACATTGAATTGGATTGTTCTATAAGTGTGCAACGTTGTGTTAAACACAGGTCTACAAGTTAAAAGGAGAAATGGAGCTTCTTCATAAGCAAACTCAGAGGGAAAAAGAGCGCATGGACTTCGAGATTAAAAAGATAATCGAAGATGAGAAACTTAACTCGGAGAAAGCCACCAGAACAATGAAGGCAAAACTGGACAATACCGTGCTTCAAGTCAAGCTTCTRTCGACAGTCATTCAACAAATTAAGAGGCAATATAAGGATTTAAAGATCGAGTCTTTGAAGATGGCAACTGCCATTAAACCAGCTATCAAAGATGCGCAGAAACAGGTAAAACTTCAAATTGGTAATATCAGAACTGTTTATAAACATATGAGACGTAGCAGCTCAAAATGGGTGCTGAGGGCTAAGACCTTTGATGACGCAACGGTTTATATGCAGTCCTAGGGAAAAGATTTTGAGCTAAGACCCTTTTTGAGCTGCAACCTCTCATATCAGACTTTCTTAATAAAATAAAGAGCTTTTTCTATAAATTAAATGCTTAACGTTCCCGTTTGCTCTCAAGATTCTTCAAAGAATCGAAGGAATCGACGACAAAAACAAGGAGTTACTTACAAAGTACAGAAAAGAAATGGGGCTGCGCAAAAAGTATCATAACGARCTCGTCGATTTAAAAGGCAATATACGGGTCTACTGTAGAGTCAGGCCTCTCATTCGAGAGGATGGCGCAGGCAAGATGGCTGAAAACGTCGTCTCTTTCGATGAAGATGACGACGGAATTTTAAGTGTTTTATCGAGAGGAAGAACGAATTCATACGAAATGGACAGAGTTTTTCGACCCGAGTCCACACAAGAACAGGTAGGAATAATAGTTGTTTATCTTAGTGCGGTCAAAATACAAGCTTAATTTATGATAGCATGAAGATATTTTAGAAAAGCGTTGAATACTGACAAGGGATAGTGTATTCCAAGAACGATGCATTATTTGTTTCTTTTACTATCTGCGTTCGAAAGGAGTTTTCGTGGTTTTACATCATGACTTCATCAGCTCCATACATGCATCGGGAGTGTCGCCGGAGAAAATGCGTCCGCCATCTTGAAACGTTGGACTCAAATCACAAAATTTTAACTCCTAAAGAAATTAAAAGGTTCTAATCTAATGTCAAGTTGAAATAATACGATATAATGATAGATTAGTTGACTTAGTAACTACGAAATGTATTCAAAGGCATAACATAGTGATTCCGGTCTCACTTTTCAAGATGGCGGAAGCGTTGTTCCCCGAAACTCCTATACAGTCAAAAACTTCAATGGAAAACTTTAGAGCTTAGAATTGTCATTTTGTAATGTCACCAGACGTGGAGTCTTAATTATTACAACAATGCATTGCGGTCATGGAATGTAATCAGTATCATATTGTAATCATTTAAMAACTGTTTTCCATACTTCAGGTTTTCGATGAAGTCAGGCCACTAGTAATATCCTGCATTGATGGTTACAATGTRTGCATCTTTGCATACGGACAGACCGGAAGCGGCAAAACATTTACAATGGAAGTAAGTAAACCTCACGTGACAATCCTTGGAACGTAATGTGTGACATTTGGTCACGCCTTTTAAACCCGCGTGACTTGTAGACGACTTTCAGAGTATCAGGAGTATTTTTGAAAAGAATCAGGCAGATAGTTCTTTAGTGTGGACGCGACATGTGAATTCTCTACTAGATCTGTAACCATTTAAAGTCTGGTCGTTTGCAAAGCGAGGATTCATCACACTTGAATTGAAATAGAAAAAAAATTGTTTCCTGTTCTCCAACATCTCTTAAAGGGACATGGTCCACCAGCATTTAATGCGGTCGTGTTTTAGATTTTTCACATATGGAAAATGAGGTGACTTCTAATATCCATTCGCAATCCGTTTCCATCCATCGGTGACCGAATCTTGCACTACCTCTATTCATATAGTATAAAGGGATAAGAAAGAGTAAATTTTTGCTTATATTGCGATCCTTTTTTATTTTCAAACATAAACAAAAGCTCGAAAGGGATGCTGGTGGACCATGTCCATTTAGATAAATAAAAAAATAACGTTGTTTTATCTCAGGGTCCCGCTGACAACCCCGGAATCAACCAAAGGGCTTTAAGCTTGTTATTTTCCGAGACAAATGATCGACGAAGTGACTGGCACTACAGTGTCACTGTAAGTGTCATGGAGATCTATAACGAAATGCTCCGGGATCTCCTTGCTGATGACTCAAGTGCCAAACTGGATATCAAACAGGGAAAAGAAGGTCTCTATGTACCTGGTCTGCGTGAGATTTCGGTTTCTAATCTTCAAGAGTTGAACGACGTAGGTTTTCAAGTGAAATGTTGAATATATGCATAGATTCCTCTTTCTTTGTCTTTCGATTCTATAAGTCTTTGTCTTTACTTATATTTCCTTACACTTGTGATGTTTTCTCTCAGTCAGTCACTCTACACTACGTTTCTGCTTTAGCGAATTTCTTCGTCCTTTCATTTCGTTTTTCATTCTTTGCTAAAATCTTCCTGTCATAACATTGTTATATTCATATGAAGTCATTCCTTCCTTTGAACCCTCTCCAACATACGTTCCTACCTTCCTTGTGTACTTTTTCTTCTTTCTTTTCGTCTACCTTCCTTCCTACTTTACTTCCCTTTTGCTATAGTATCCTTAGATCAACACTTATAAACGTACTTCATATTTGTGTTTGCATTCCCCTTTTTGTCTCCTTTTTCCATGACTTTTTCAGTCTCACAGTCCATCCTACCTTTCCCTGCTTGTTGTTTTTTTCTTATTACTTTATATTTAAATATATATGTAATATTGTTATGTTCGCTATTAGGTCTTCGAGCTCGGAAAGAAGAACCGAGCAACAGCCTTCACCGACATGAATGAGCACTCTTCCCGCTCACACGCTTTGCTCTGCGCTACGGTGATTGGTGTAAATAAAACCACTGGAGTTAAGACAACAGGTCAGTCATAGTTAGACATGCCACACAGTGCATCAAACTACCATATATATATAAAAAATAAGAGTTTGCTGAAGAAGGCCGAAGTGCCGAAACGTACAATAAAAAATAGAAAAACAAGTTGCAAGTTGCGTGCCTTTTTCTTAAATTTATTCTATTTAAAAAGATAACAGTTGTTATAACCGATAAATTTTACTCCATATACGTTGTTTTTGATGTTGGCTCTTCGTTGGACCAACAAATAAGCCAACGTCTGAAATATGTGTGAAAATGGTGGAAACTAGTGGTAAACTACTGTGAGCTGCGTCGGTGTTTCTAAAGAAACAGTTGTCTAAAACGATAGATTTAATACCGTAAAAAATAGGTAAAACAGCTTGTTAATGACGTTTCGGACGTTAATCCTTCGTCAATTAATTATTTCACTTACTTTTTTACGGTGTTAAAGGCCCAGTGTGCACCATTATGCTTTGGGGCCGCGAGGTCCTAGAGGCGGCCATTTTCAGTTGGCCGAAAGTCTATAAATTGTGCTTTTCGAATCTTTGACCATCTCACTTTTCTCTAAGCACTTTAAACGCTAATATAAGAGTTTTCAAAAAATTTGACATTCCTTTTATGGTGATGTTTGGATACTACTAGAAGTATTTTGTTGTAAATCATAACAATAACAGAGACGCGCAAAGCATAATGGTGCAAACTGGGCCTTTAAATTTTATCTTTTTACACGAAAATATGTGTAACACTAGTTATCGGGTCTTATTGAAACTGGAACTGCGACTTCCATCATGCTTTGTTGCACAAAATGGCATCGCTGCACATTGCCTATTAACCCATGTATCTATCTGTATGCTATTTGTAGGAAAGCTGAATCTGGTTGATCTTGCTGGGAGTGAGCGCGTCTCAAAAAGTGGATCGGAAGGAGCTCGCATGAAAGAAGCTCAGAACATCAACAAGTCCTTGTCTAGCCTGGGCGACGTGATTCATGCTTTGAAAAATAAAAGTGCGCATGTCCCATATAGGAACTCTAAACTCACCTATCTTCTGCAGGAATCGCTAGGTAAGATGGCTGACCCTCCTGGCATCATTAGATTGCTTTTATTATTATTATTATTATTATATTGTTACCATAACACTGAAAACAATCGCGCGCTTTAAAGGTTGTAAATTTGATGTAAATATAATGATGTAAGTGTCGAAAATTCTGTAAATTTAATGGAAATCATTTTTGGACACTTACATCATCACATTTACATCAAATTTACAACCTTTAAAGCGCGCGATTTTTTTCCAGTGTAACGCTTGCATCCCTGTTACCATTACCATKGCCAGCCGTGCTTTGACTACAAAAAATTTCATTAGTCAAGTGAAACCGCTTCCCCCAACCTCCAGGCAATATAAAGTCCTGGTTTTACGCGACTCCTGGAGACAAAAATGGCGGTTCAAGTGATCAATGAAACTTATTTAGACGTTAATTTTGTGTTCTTTCCTTTCTCGGCCCAATCTACATGTGAAAAATGTGATAAACATAAACTTAATATCAAACTCTTCTGCAGGTGGAGACTCGAAGACGCTAATGGTGGTACAAGTTGCACCTGTCGAGAAAAACGCAAGCGAGACAGTATGTAGTCTTGTGTTTGCGCAACGTGTTCGCACCGTAGAGCTTGGCCAAGCTACCAAAAAGACCGAGACTGCTGCTGCTGCCCAGTTGAAGGACAGGCTCAGAGAATATGAGGTTTGTTTGATATTGAAGTTGGATCTTTTGGACTTCCCTTTGAACCTAGTTTGTTTTTATTGCTTTCAGCTTTCTTCCTACTTTCTTTCTGTTACGAATGGCAGTTGTGTAATCCTCACCCGACAATCTCTCTTTCCCATTTCATCCTTTTGTAAACCGCTTTAGTGTATTTAGATATATGCATTTTCTTTCGTCGTCACTTTGTTTCCTTTGGTACGAATGGCAGTTGTGTAATCATCACCTGACAATCTCTCTTTCCCATTTCATCCGCAAACCGTTTGTAAACCGCTATAGTGTATTTAGATATAAACATTTTCTTTCGTAAGTCCTACGTCGTCACTATGTTTCCTTTGGTAACTTTTCAAACCCTGTTGTTGTTTGTTTGCTTTTATTTAGTATTTTATTTCTTTCCCCTTTTGTTTTTCGGGGTCCTTAAATGCAGTTGAACCACTCCTTAAAACCACCCATTTAGAACGGTGACTCCGCATTGAGGTCACTTTTAGTGTGGTCCAGTAACGCCCATACAGAAATTTGCCYACTTTTAACAGCCATCCAGTGACAGCTGTCGTTCTGTTCTTAATTTCTATGTTCTTTAATTCTTGTTCTTTCTTTCTTTCTTTTTCCTGTTTCCTTTCTATGAACTTCAAATTATCCACTCGACATTTAATAACATTTGTTTGTTTGTTGAACAGGGTGGATCACCATCGAAGGCGAAGAGTTCCTCTTTACCTCGACCACGTCTCAGATAGAATATTTCATTGACTGTAAATATGTAATATATATAATAACTATATATGTACAATATGTAAGATATTCATTCAAGTAATATCCACAAGTTTAGATAGAATTTATAAGAGTTAATCAAATTTAAAAAAATGCAAATTATTCATTAAAGAAATGTTAATTAGTCTAGATCGAATTTCTAAAAATGTCAGTTACTAAGTCGCAAGACTYCGGTCTTACCTTTTCAGAACAAGGACGCCTGGGTATTTGAATTCTCTTTTTTATAGTTATATTTGGATATTCAAATAAGAAACTTAAGTGTATCTCATAAATTTAGACCGCTTTTGTGGTCTTTTCTCCTTGTTTTCGAAGAAAAAAGTACATCAATAAAGCTTTACTAAGAAGAAACGAAAGTTCTACTATAATTGTTCAAACTTTCATGTTACAATGGGATGCCATTTTGACCTATAACTGCATAATATCCGTTTTAAAATGCAATTTTCAAGTTGTATAGTAATATTACATTAATTTACACTAATTTATTGGATTTTTTCAATAAATCTAACMCTTCAAAATTGTATGAAACTTGTCTTACAGACATTGACTAGYCACTGTAAAAGACTCTGAAGATTTTACGTCATATGTGATGCAGTGCATTGTAGGATATCTTAGGGGCAAAGTATGATTTCTTTTGTTTTCTCCAGAAAATGATCCCACAATGCATAAGTAGGTGACGTAAACGGTTCAGAAGTCTATTCTTCGTTTTCAGGTTACGTCACAGCGGCCATCTTGGCCGGAACTTTAACAAAGGATTTCTCATTAGTWTCTATTGTTCATTCCTTCAACATGGCCGCCGGTCTTTTTTTCTTTTGAATCTCAAAAAAACGATCAATTGGGAAATGGAATTCAGTGTTATTCTCAAGYTACAATAGCTTGGTTGATAATGTCCATGAGCTCCTCGTCACTTTCAATACTGCACTCAAGCGGTCTCTCAAATTCCGTGACACATCCATTTCTCATTACCAACACACGATCACTGTTCATTATAGTATCCAGGCTGTGCGCTAACGTAATGACCGTGTGATCCTGGAAATGAGTTCTTATGACGTTTTGAATTCGCTTATTTGACCAATCGCCATMGTTCTCTTCCTCTTCAACAATCAATATCTTCTTGTCCTCCARAAGCGCATGCGCTAAAGTAACCAATCGTAAGTYGGTATTTGATAGCTCAGTGATGTCACTAGATARAGCAGATTCTCGTTCAGTGCCTCCTTTMGATTCGAACTGAACCATTTCTAGAACGTCCAATAAAGTATCATTTTCATATTTTACATAYGGRTCTARRTTAGACCTCAGGTTTGTGCTGAAAAGTTTYGGATGCCGAGGAACGATGCCAATGATTCTTCGAGAGTGTTTCAACGACATCTCGGTGATGTCGACTTGATCGATAATCATTCGTCCTTTCGGCTCGGGCATTCTAAATAAAGCACTAACTAACGACATTGTTTTGGAGTCTTTTTGCCCAATGATGGCGACTTTTTGCGATGGAAGAATGTCAAAATAAGTTGAATTGAGTGTTTCCTGAGACTCATTCTCGTACGATAAATCCTCACATTTAATACCACCCTCCTTGGGCCAATCCTTAGKGGGGTAGTGTTGRTAGSCATATCCTGGCTCAGGTTCTACAGTGGTATAACTTGAAACCCGTGCAAACGATGACATTAGAGATTCCATCTCTGCTGTTGCCATGACAATCCACTGAATGTACAAGAAAAGGTGAATGGCGTACAAAAGTGACATGCCKGCGTAACCTAGCAACAAAATCAACGTCAATTTCAAATCGTAAYAGYGATGCTTTGCGAAYGAAMCGYGACGCWTTGCGARTACCATGTGTAGCGTGCATCTACAATTTAATTACAYTGAATTGGTGTTTCCCTTACTTTTTTAAAGTCCTGATTAGCGATTTACTTACTTGAAACTAACTGGAACCATACACTTTTTGTTTTAAAATAGTGCGTGCGCTCTGTAGTAATTATTTTCAACATCGTTAGACTTACTTGGAGTGGTTTCTGCCAAGATTGCAGCGATGCACAATACGAGGATAAACACCGAACACACGGCCTCAATTCGCAAGGACATCCATCTCATCCCAGCATTCTGCATCATGTTTGCACTTATGGAGTTATTTAACAGTCTGGGGAATTCGATATATTGATATATTAACCACTCGTGAATATAATCAATCGAGCTGTCACACACGGCCTCAATTCGCAAGGACATCCATCTCATCCCAGCATTCTGCATCATGTTTGCACTTATGGAGTTATTTAACAGTCTGGGGAATTCGATATATTGATATATTAACCACTCGTGAATATAATCAATCGAGCTGTCAATCAATCATTCATGAATCTTATCAATCAATCAATCATTCAGCCACCAAGCCAAGCAGGCAGCTAATCAATCTATACCAGCCAATAAAATCAATCGATCAAACCAAGAAACCCYTCAACCTGCCAACTAAGCAMTCGATCAACCTATCAACTTACCAAACTACCACCTAAGCAACCCACCAACCAACCGGCCAAGCAACCCATCAACGCACCAANTATGGACGAAGAAAAAACAAACAAAATATTTGCGAATACAAACACATTGAGAGCTACATGGCTTACATAACTCGGTGATTACACATTATGACATTACACGAGAACGATTTCGTAACTGTAAAATGTTTATCGTATATTTGGTCGCTTTAGAAATCATACATATTGCGTATTAGCAGTACTATTATTTAGTATGTTCAAACAACTAGTAGTATTCGACAAGCATATCCAAGCTATCAAATTAAGGAAAAATTAAGGTTCCCTAGACTACAGCACGTACAAATTAGCCTCTACCTACAGTTGAAATCGCAAATTTTTATATGGTAAGAAGTCTTCGATATTGGAAACTTCGAGCTTTTCGTTCCGTCCATTGTGTCAGTGTTGACAGTTTGGTGTACTGATTATAACACGTTTGCAACGCCTCTGCAGTATCAAGCTGTTCACTCTAAATCTCGTTTGCGGCTTGTTATGACCAACCATCAACCTACCAATCGACCAACCAACCCATAACCTACCAACCCATCAACCAACTCATCAACCCAACCAACTCATCCAACCTACCAACCAACCTACCAGCCAATAACCTACCAATCGACCAACCCATCAACCAACCCATAACCTACCAACCCATCAACCAACTCATCAACCCAACCAACTCATCCAACCTACCAACCAACCTACCAGCCAATAACCTACCAATCGACCAACCCATCAACCAACCCATAAGCTACCAATCGACCAACCAACCCATAACCTACCAATCGACCAACCAACCCATAACCTACCAATCGACCAACCAACCCATAACCTACCAATCGACCAACCCATCAACCCAACCAACTCATCCAACCTACCAACCAACCAACCAGCCCATAACCTACCATAACCAATCAACCTTGCAATAACCAAACAACCCACCAACCAACTCATCAACTTACCAACCATCGACCTACTAATCGACCAACCCATCAACCAACCAACTTATCCAACCTACCAACCAAAAAACCAACACATCCAACCGACCAAACAACCAACCGACCCATAACTACATTAATACTACTTGCCTATAAACATCGACCARGAACCCTTCCTGTGTGTTAAACGCTCTTATGCATGTCATACCATCTAATGTCGTTTTAAAATGAGCTCCAATATCTCCTCGAAATTTTCGTTTAAGTTTACTCAGATCGTTGGTCGAACGAAGGGCGTAACGTCTTAGTAGAACACAGAGTAACAGAAGMGGTACRCAAGCTAGAGATAGCCAGTAATTTGAAGCWATAGAAACAATGGTTACAGACAGTACGAGGAGAACAGATTTGACACATTCATTTGTTGCGTAGGGAAGAGAGATGTCCAGGTCTTGCATGTCTTTAGAAAACCTAAAAACGAAAACGCAATACAAAACGATTACTTTTCTCTGTCCATACAATTCACTCTCATTTGAGTAACATCAATTTTTGTTTTTTTTTTCTCCATTCGCCCGTCCTACAAGTTCCTTTCTGGCATGCTTACTCGTYCCTTTCATTTTTCCTCTCTCTCTCTCTTGTTCTCTTCAACCTTCCAGCTGCCTTTTCTACCTTCTTCATTTCATCCTTCCCTCCTTCCTCACTTCATGTCGCTTAACCCTTCCCTGCTCTCCATTTCTAAAACTCTTTCTTTTTCCTTCCATTTTCTTTCTACACTTACCGGTGAACCACTTTTGCAGGTGAGTTTGAATCAAAGAATGAAACATGAGCCTTTAAGACCGCTTTCAGCATTCGAATATGGAGACGCTCCGAGGTCTTGASCAAAGCCAAGAATACACCAAGAGAACGCAGTAAGGCAAAYAGTATGGATAACATGGTCACACCATAGAAAACACGACCAACTTGTTTATAAACCTGTTTATCCTGTTTCATGTTGCTCCACCTCGCTAACCACCAATCAGCAACAACCATAATCCCTTGCCCCGTKACCACTAGTAACATCAACAACACAAGTACAAATAAACTTCGACTTGTCCTGAARTACTTMCAATAAACCGACCACTTTGACGCCCCGACMGGAAATACGTCATCMACAACAATATTCAARTCTCCRGTCACGATTGGYTGACTTGAGATAGCTGCTCCTGGTTTGCTAATTTCCATGTCATGTGACTCCATGTTTAAGTCACGTGATAGTGAATTGTTCCCAGTCTCTGCGTTCCGTGTATTGTTAATGTGTTCTTTTATTTGTGAGAAGGAGCCTTGATGTTTGATTCGTCCTCCCTTCATYACAAGCACTTGGTCGCATTGCTCGAGAATGGCATCGTTACTKGATACAATAATGCGACAAGTTTGAGAAAGGCTTTTCACAATAAGCTTCTTAACCAATTTCCTGCTGTTCGCAAGGWAKAAAAAGCAATCATCAAACAAGTARATATCCGCTTCACAGTACGCTGCGCGTGCCAGACTGACGCGAGTCCGCTGGTCAACTGTTAGCGAAACTCCRCCTTCTCCTATCGTTGTCAAATCACCTGAAAAATAAAGTTTTGATTCACCAAAACATATTATTCGTTGAAAAATGGACGACAAAGCGCGGTATAGCTACGATACGATGAATACATGATATGGCAACGATATTAATGCTACAATACGACTGATATTACGACTGATATGATTACTTTACAAATACGATACGAATACGATACAGCTACGATATAGCTGCGATATGTGTACGAAACAACACGAGTACAATACAGCTAAGATACGAATATGATACGACTACGATTAAGCTACGATACGACATGACTACGATACGGATACGACAAGACGACGACGCAGCTACGATACCAAATTACCACAATACAACGACACTGGTGAAAAACGCACTGCGCATGTCCACAGCTTTCCCGCTGAAATCTGCCTAATTTTCTTTGTAAAGCGATTTTTGTGAAAGTTTTTTTTACAATTTATAAGCTCGTTAACCGATACATAAGATTCATATTTCCATCAATCATTGTTCTTTTAGTATGTAGTTTCTACTTTTATCTTGTTATTTGTACTTTGAGAAAATGAGGTTTTTCGTAGTGTTTTCTGTGTTGTTGCAGGCGCTCTGTTTACAGATTTCAAGACGCGAGCGCCCACTGGCGGGAAAACTGTGGGCATGCGCAGTGCGTTTTTCACCAGTGTCCGAAGTGACAGGAATACAATACGGCTAAGATACGACACGATTACGATACAGATACAAAAAGACGAAGACGCAACTGCGATGCGACTACGATTAATACACACCATTTGGAAACTCCAAAATATCTTTGTCTAATGCGCACGCGTATATGACCTTCCAGTACCGATCTTCCGCAAACGGAGAGTCACATAAAATATTGTCCCGTAATGATCCCGTGCAAACCCACGGGACTTGCGGGACAAACACTACGCGTCCTGATCTTAAAAGTTGCCCATGGAATTGTGGTAGTTCTTGTAGTGTTGCTAATAGCAACGCCGTCTTGCCGCTGCCCGATGAGCCTGTAACGCCGAGTAAAACATTGTCATCTAGCTCTAGTGAAATGCCAGACAGCGCAGGAATTTGTCTTTTAATACTCCAACTAAACGAAGCGTCTTGAAAGCAAACTCTTGAAGACTGTTTGCAATCATCGGGGTTTTCAGATTCATCCTGATTGGCTAGTTTACCGAAGCTTAAAACATTAGTTGGATAMGAGGCTTTGTTTTCAAGTCGTTCAAAACCATCATTGACAAAGAACCTTGAATTACCAACAACGCGACACAAGACTTCGTCTTCTTTAGAATACAAGTCCTCCATATTTAGAAAGCATTCTATRCTCTGCGCAGCCGCAATGGCCTTTGGAATGCTCTCGGTCCCACGTGACACGTACTCGAGAGCTGATTGGGCCAGGCAGGTATAAAGAGCGAGCGTCGAGAAGACTTTGACGGCGGTCAGTTGTTCGCCGAGGAAAACCATTGACGGGAACACAATGATCGATATGAACGTCAGACATGACAGTTGTAGCGTTTGTTGTAGGGAAAAAAAGATCATTATCTTTTTGAGCCACTTGAACTCGTTCCTGGGAGCACAGAAAATACATGTTAGTATTAGTATTTATTTAGTGCAAGAGTGCAAACACTAAAAGCGTGAAACAAAGTGCAATAGTCAATGTGTAATAATGTGGACATTGCATGAAAAGCGTGAAAAAAGGAATAAAAAAGTGTAATACGGATTAGAAAACTATATTCTAGTGTCGATTGGACCGCAATAGATAGCAAAGTAATTCGCACAATTCAGTACAAACTAGCACTATTCAATTGATTAAGTTTTTCATGGTTTTAGCCGTGTTTGCACTCTATTACACTAGTATTAGCATTGATATTTTCACGGCAAACGGCAAACGGCAGAAAAGATCACGTGACCACCTTTTTGGGGGTTTACCGTTACAGTTTCAACGCGAGAGTGGGTTGTTTTGGAGTTGCCATAATCGTGAAAGGTCGCTCTTTCAAATGACTACAAAAAGCACAAGATCGGGGAAGAAATTTTTATGTCTTTGGTTCAGYTCTGCCGTTAGTCGTTTGCCGTAAACGTGATGCTTAAACTCTCTATWATCATCACCATCAAACATGAAACATGGCCATCGTCCTCGCTATCGGCTCATGTAAAATGACCGAGTAAGATCTAGGTCATACCTTCTAATGTCATTAAYCGATCGCTTTAAAAGAGTCTCCCAAACGTTCATTTTAACAGCTYTTATCCCTGTAATAATTTGTGTCATCAACCCAGTCCGTTGTGACGACAGTCGTCTTGCTTCGCATTGCATCTTGGTACATAGCCGTCTTAACACCGTCTGAATGGGGACCAGGCCAACAACGAAACCAGTAGYAAACAGACTTAACCAGCTTATCTGCTGCCAYGACAACGCGGTAAAAATTATAACTTCTAAGGGGAATATGGAGAGATATGGYACGAAAAAGCTGCCAGTTTGAAGACTTTCGCAATCGAAAGAAACAAGCYGGGTCATGTGGACGGAAGTGACGTCATGAAGAGATTTTTGGTTTAGCTTTAATACCTAAAATGTCAAAAGAGTATAAATCAAGATCGTGAGAAAYTGATTATCAGTAGCAATTGAAACACGAAAGATGGTTCTTGATATAAAACCAGAATCACTTGAYCAAGAAAGCTTTAAAAATTTCACAGGCCGTACGCCATGTTGGAATGTATAGGTATAACCAACATGGCATCTAAGACTTTCACTTTAACGTCTAATTCACATTGATGCGTTTTCGTAAAGTTCTCTGTTCTTTTTAAAGGAAATGGAAGCTAAGAACACATAAATGCTATGAAAACGCATGAGTGTAAAAGAAACCTAATGATCCAATATGACGATTATGGACGATTTCTGATATCCACAAGCTCTTTCAAAACTATTGAGCCGACTTTCGGGGTACTGCTCCGAAGCTCGCTGAAGCTCAGTTTCATACCTAATTTGCATGCGCGCACTTGCGATGTTTTTGAAATCGCCCGCGCTCCTCRTGAATTTCTTTATTACCTTTTTAAAAATAAGACCAGTCAAGGCAGTTCTCAGTTGAATCCCTAAGGTCTGTAATCTGTACATGAAGAAGTTTCTTAAAGTTCCATAAAGTAAAGTAACGACACCAAGTAGTCCWGCATAGACGAACGCTTGCCGATCACTTTCCGATAAGTGTCCGATGAAAGAGCCGACGAAGACAGCCATCAGAACTCGCATCAGTAAGTCAAACAGCATTAGCAAGAGCAGGATGCAGAGATGRAAACTAAATGACTGAGAAATTAAAAATAAATACGATTTAATTGCTTAGGTAAGAGTTGCATCATGAAGGTGTAACATGGCGAATCGATTTGAATGCATTAACGCATTAACGCTGTCCCGCTTCAATGCAAGGCCTCKCGGGCTACCTTTCAAGATGGAGCTGGGAACAGTACATCGGAGTATTGCAATGCGTTTTCGTGGTTTGGGTATAATTTTCTTCTTATAGTCCTCTACGGAGAGCAAACAAGGAAACGTGTTTCGTCTGCACACAAAAGCGCTCTGTGATTGGTTAAATTTATAAACGTTTCTGTGGAAGAATAGAATGAAGCGTTTTTTCCTTTCTTTTTTTTTTTTTTTTTTTTGCTATTAATTGAACACTGAAACGCTACCAGATGAGTGGATCCTGCATGAATTGTGTGCCTCGTAATTACTTGTCATTCGGTGTTTATGAATATATTTGGAAGTGAGACTCGCAATGCAACGAATATATTGCGTGCCAGCTTTATTTAATTGGATCTACCAAAGGAAATCCAATATAGATGAAAAGGAAACTTCTAATGCTCTGAATTCAGGTAAGCAGATGTAGGCTTGAAAGACTCATGAAAGACAGTCATTTGACTTGAAACTACAGTTATGGCTGATTGAATGGATTGAATAAGAAAGTTAATGAATAAAGAAATAAAGAAAGACGAAATTGCGATGGGTGGGTGATTGCAACGAGATTACCAAGCCCTCTATGTTTTTTTTGATGTCAGACGAGACCACCATACGAAAGGGAAAAAGCCTTTTGGAGCTGAATGGAACTGAAAGAAGTCGATGCATAACTGAATAAAGAAATTATAAGAATAGAAGGAAGGATGGGTTGATCGATGAATAGGTTGATTGCATGAGAACGCGAATGAATAAATGAAGAAAAAAAGAGATGGTGGGATTGTTGGATTAATTTTTGAATCACAACAATAAAGTTGATTGATGAAACATAAACAAAGCGCGCATGCTGATTGATTGATATATATTGATTGACAGAATATATCATTGACTTATTGCGTGCGATCGAGAATCAATTAAACGATCTCTTGGTTGATTGATTACATAGCTGATTTGCTTAACTCATCAAGTGATCAATCGATGAACTCAGGCGAAAAATAATTACTGCAATTTATACACAACACACTTAAACTGGACATTAAGAACTTCAGAACATTCTTCAAAGCTACTTTAAAGCTGTAAAACGAACGATTTAKCCATTARTGCAGRGTACCCCAGGCRATGAAAAAGTATTTCTAGACAGACTGTCACCTCACGTCAACCATTTCTCCTTGTAAAAACCAATCCTTTTCCCCCCAGGTGGTGAAAAGCTGTTGTATTCAAAGTATTTCAGTAGGAGCCTCATCGTTTAGATTTCAAGTTAGAAAAATACAAAATCTAAAAAATCATTTAAGTTGAAAGATTATAAAATATTTGCAACAAATTTCCGTGACTGCTTCCTGAAATGTCGAGTCTCATAATAATTCTAATAATATCATCATTGTTGGTATGCTTTGCTGGTTGTAAAACATCATGAATACATTGAAAAATCATCAAGAATGGACACGGATGGAAGCCATTCAATTACCTTAAAAAGGGCTCGTAGAAGAAGAAACTTTCGGTCGGGATCCGTTCCTCCCAAGTGCTCCTCTTCTTTCCATGACATTTCGAGAAGTTCAGTAAGAGATTCAGAAGATTCCTTCTTACGAAGTTTAAGGAGATCTTTTTCTTGAAGCTGAGATCGGTTGCCATGTTTTAGAGTTTTGTTTATCCAACTATAAGTCACACGAGAGAGCAGCCCGACTGGTAAAATGTTCCCGAAACGGTCTTCTTCGTGCAGTGCTGACATAGTGCTGCGCGGACTGTAAGCTAAGGAAAGTTATCGCACTTTCTTTGAATATTATTGGAGTACATAAGCGACACAAATTGATGAAATGCCAAACATATGACATAAATTTGTGGCATTTTTCTTGGTCATGGTCTACTACAAGTCGTGACCTTAAAGTATCTCTTACTAAAGGTATTCAACAATGATGCGGTATTACGGTGGTCCGTGAGGCCCACGCGTGGTTCACAGRGACACCTTCGCGCGGCGAGATCAAARGCAAGATGTTTCACTTCGTCGGGATGTGTTCAAAATAAACTTTGTCTTAGATAGCAGCTTGTTCATGTTCATGGCTGAACTAAGCAACAACGATTAGTTTTTTATATACACTTGATATGTTAGATGGGTATCTATTCCATGATGTAATAGTGCACTTGAATTGCTGACAGAAATCTTATCGTTTTTGCATGATTTTTTTTATCTTTATCGTTGTTATTAGCTTAGCTTATCAAAAATTAAATTTCCTATCAATGGATTACTTTTTAAACTCATTATTATTGTTTTTATCATCATTTTATTATATCACTATCTCTATCACTCAAAATAATGAATATTTTACGCTGTGGAAAATGATATGAACAAATRTACTTACATTTYATGGGCTTCCTGTGTTCTTGAGGTATCCCATACTCCTCTGGGAGCTATCATCCAACATGGCGGCCGYTTCGCAACTAGAGAATGTCAACCCTGCGGTTTTCAAACAAGCGAGCGAGCGTATCATCACACCTGAAGAGCAGGATGAGAATTATACAGATAAAATTGACGATAGAGAAGTATTTGGTATCCTTTGATTATTGAAAGAATATRTTTTCGATTTTAAAAGTTGAACTTTAAAAATAGTCGTATGGTTTTACTTACGTAATCAGTTTTTGAGCTGTCAGTCATACATCCTGTTATCATTTTAACTAAGTGAMAGACATGATCCGGTTCATCAATGATCCTGAGCATCCATTGACTCTAGAGGAACTAAACGTYGTAGAGCAATCGTTGGTCGATGTTAATGATGATGAAAACTTTGTAAAAGTACAGTTTACACCCACAATCCCTCACTGTAGTATGGCCACTCTTATTGGACTTGCCATCAGGGTTAGGTTAYTGAGGTCACTCCCTGAAAGGTTCAAGGTATGTTTTGCTCCGTTATTGGCCATTAAAGGGACACTGTCAATGGATGACATGCGCAGTAACAGTCTCRCCTCTAACGGACTTTGAAAGTATDWCCTTCGAGGAAAATCATTTTGTGGTGCTTTTGACACACTTTGGRATATTCTAGAWCTGTTTACGTTTACRAGCTGATTTATGTCGTGCCAACTTGGAGTCATAAACTTGAAAACATTARCSTAATGTTTTCAAGTTTACTCRYGCATGCGTGYCATTGACAGTGTCCCTTTAAGCATTCCCTTGAGAGGAGAGGCTATTATTGGTTGGCAGTTYGACAGTTTCTGTTGATTTTAGASGTYGGTTTTTGGTATACTGTCATTTTTGTGCTTGTAAAGATAATCACTCAGYTGMARATTTGMTGATTTTGCAACTTTATGTGCTGATTTGTGGCATCACAACCCCCTAAAGAGAAAARAWTGGTGGCCATGTTKTATGATGTTCTTGCCGATGTTGCTATCTGATAAAAAAGTCATTTAGAGTTGGTAGATAACACTAAACTCCAAGTCATTGTTTAATATTTCTATCCTCCCCCTTGTATATGCCTTGATAAGTTATTTCAACCCCTGACAAAAAGGGTCCAACAAAGTCATAAGGAACTGTATAACATTAGAGGAAAGATACYATGTTGATAATATGAGTTCACTATATCCAACAGGTCGACGTAATTATAACACCAGGATCTCATCAATCAGAACTTGCAGGTTGGTCTTATAGTAAACAGCTATTTTTGCTTGCTAGGGGAAATAAAGAAGGCACAAAAAGACTTGTACCCAGGCACTTCTCTTGCTTTTTGTATAGTATACAATAGGCCTTTTAAATTACTAAATACGCCATACTGATACTGGAATGTTCAAAAGTCAAGAAAGAAAAAGTCAAGCTTGATGGGCTGCATTACTTTTGTTTTTGAGGTAGTTAACATTATTTTGCCAGATCCAGTATGGCGGATTTAGTACCATGTGACCATTTCGTGCAAAAAGGCTATTGATAAGGGAACAGTCTCTTCAAGTGAAGCAAAAAAAAAACAAAAAAAAACAAAAAAAAAAAAGGAAACAACTGCATACAAGCCTGAGGACTTAGGCACAACAGCTGTTGAAAAACACCAACCCTTCAGCTGTATGTAATCTAGGAGTTTTTTGTTAGAGTGCTCGCACTAAATGCGTGAAATATAATTACTACAAAATAGGTGATAAATTATACAAATTCCTTTGTTTTCTATTGTATAATCAACACTATTTAGTAGTAATTAGTACTATTTGTTTCACGCTTTAAGTGCAAGCACTCTATTGCTTTAYTCATTAAATTATTGTTTTGTTTGGTTACAGTAAACAAACAGCTTGCTGACAAAGAAAGAGTTGCTGCTGCACTTGAAAATAGTCATTTGTTGGAAGTGATAAACCAGTGTTTAGCAAGAAAACAGTGATGAAAGACAAGCCGTTTAAAAACATTTCATAGATGGCAGTGAGGACACATGAACCAAGAGAACATGGCACTTGAATTCAAGTTGCTTTTGTTTTGTCAACATTGCACAAAGCCATTAGGGACTTGAAGAGTTAGCAATTTATTTGAGGAGAAAACAGTCATTTTGAAGAAAAAATTGCCACGTTTCTTCATCTTTTAAGATTAAAATGAGCTACTCTTCAAGTGAACTTCAAGAAGAAAAGTTGCTTCACTCAACAAAAATATAAAAATAATTTGTTAGTACTCTGAATGTATGAATACACATAACTGTAAATTAATACAACCACAACTACTTTGTTCACTTTTGAATTATATTTTATTGGATACAAAAGTTTTGGGGTTTTGTCAATTAACCAACACACTCACACAAATTCACACAGTCACAAATTCTTACCAACACCTGTAGAGTACAAACATTAAATGTGTGCAACACTTTCCACTATTTACTACAAAATAGTGTTAATTAAACAATAGAAAACAATAGAATAAGCATTATTTAGCCGTATTTAGTGGTATTTATGTTGCACAGTTTTAGTGTTTGTACTCTACTATTTTTGCTTATTAATATTATTATTATTACTTATTATTATTTACATACTTATAACAAAGACGAAATACCTTAGTTAATCTTAAAGCGCAAAAATCAGGAGTACTCATTTGCTTTTCAGTGAATCTATCAATAGGAACTTCAGAAAAAAGCATTCAAAGTACTATGTAAAAACGTACTAAATGTTTTACAAAGGGATAAATTTAAGCCTTTCCTAAAACATTTAAGTGCATTTTAGTGCTAAAACACTCTATATTTTTTATTGTAATATAACAGTCTGGATGTTTTTCGATTTAATTCAGAACAGTGGTWATTTATTTTTGAATTGATCTATATACAGATCAAGCAAATCATTTTTTGATAATTTTATGTGGCGCAACCACTCTTATTTCATACTTGATTCAGTTTTCTTTGTTATTCATAGTGTTGTATCTCGCTTATTCCCCAGCTCGTTGTGTATTCAAGTGCTTTATATCGAAGTTTCAGGGATATATCTAGATATCGCATTGCATTGTGGTCTAGATTCAGTACAAACATGTTTTCATGCTGTCAAAGATGGCATTGTTTGTACTCTGAAGGAAGACCACAATGCACCATGATTTTGTATTCCAGAAAGATCTATGAAATAAAATATAACAGTTGTGTAAAAAGATAAATTTAACACMGTTAAAAAGTAGGTGAAATAACTTACTGACGTTTCGGATGTTAAGCGTTCATTTGCACTTTACTCCAACAAAGGATTAACTTTACTCTGAGGAACTTTTAACATCCAAAACGTCAGTAGGTTGTTTTGTTGTTTCACTTCCTTTTTTTATGGTATTAAAATTTTCTTTTTACACAAATGTTTCTTTAGAAACACCAACGCAGTCTACACTAGTTTGCCGCTAGTTCCCACCATTTTGTGTATGAAATTATATAAGTTATTTTATAATACAATATACACACTGATCTTAAGACACCATGACACACAATAAAATATAATCCCTCTACACCATGCAATATTCTTTGTATCTCCATGCCTCATGCAATATCATCTATATGATGTATCAGGCTATGGGAAGTTTCATAATGGTACCAGTTCTTGTTGACGCTGACACTTTGCGGTCCTCAGAGCCAACTCCACCAGGAGACGTAGTGTTTGTACTCATCATYGTAAAAGTTTGCTCGCCTTCCAGAGCAAATTGTGTTGAGAGCAGCTTGTTAACGCCTTGAGTGATGTTTCCAGGTTTGTTACTGTTGCAAGAAATAATATACATTAGTTACTACATGTTATTGTTAATTTACTGTCGTTTGTTTGCTACCAACACATGTCAATCAGCAGTGGACTGCTGTCAATCAAATTGTGAATGTGAATCATTTCAAAACATTTGATGACACATGAATACTRTATATGTGACAGTTGAAGAGCCTCTTTGTTGTTGGATATGCTTTATAAAGTCATTGTTATTACAACTCAAGATGGCTGTTAATCACTCCAATATTGAGACAGAATATTAATTAAAACTACAATACTTACATTATTGGAGGAAGACCAATCTTTTTGTAGTGCTGCCATCTCTCCACAAAATCRGACGACAGCTTCACCTTACCGGCATGAAACTGCAAAACTTTATACAAAAATGGATCATGACGACAAACATTAAGCAGCTGCCGTTCACCAACTTTGTCATAACTGAGAAACCCAAGGGCYACTGCTGCAGACGACTGCACAGTCTCATATTGAGACATTAACAAGTTTGCAAGGAGACTGACGGTACCAATAGAAATCATGGCACTTGGGATACCAGCTCTTGAGTGTGCAAGTCCACCAAGAAAGTTTGCAGTCAATGACAAGATATCTTCTGATTGCGATTCTTCTAACAGAGAGACAAGGAGCTTGATACCTTTTGCACATGTCATGGACTGATCTTCATCAGGTATGATCCTTGATAAAATGATTATTTGGAAAGCAGCGTGGGCAACCTGCCGGGGGTCTTTGGACTCCAAGAATGGTATAAATGAGTGATATCGAACACCACCAGCCACGGCAATGGCTTTCTGATTGGCTACGTTGTTATATGCAAACAATGATAATGCAGCACCCGCCAATAAGGCCACCTCCTCGTCTTCATCATAGAGAAGATGCAAGATATGGAGGAATTTAAAGTCTCTGTGTTCTGTGACTTCTTTCATGTTGTCATTGTTTCCTAGGGCAACACTTCCGAGAGTATAAGCAGCCTCTACTTTGATGATTTCTGGGCGAGCATGTATCATGAACCTCATTAGGTACTTGATTCCACCTTCATGGAATACAGCTTTCTGGTTTTCAGTGTGTGGTCGAAATCCTACACACAAACACAAGGATCTAAGAGTTCGAAGAACACTCAGAATGATAAAACCCGGTGTAGAAACCCGRCTCATCTGTCGAACTAACGGCATGACACCATGAGCCTCTGATATCTCATTTCTTTTGTTATGGACTCCATTGGCAAGGACACCCAGAGCCTCAGACCCAATAAAGTGAAGACTTTGGGGCAGGTTCTCAGACAGAAACTCTAATAACAACATGACACCAATTTCATTGGCTATAGATCGTCTTTGGTTGTTTTTGTTACCTGCAATGGCCCATAATGCATTTGCAGTGAGTCTTCGCATATCTGCCTGCCGTGACCGTTTCAGCTGTCTCATCAATGCCATCACGCAGCCAATGTCTGTGACAAGTGTTTGATTGGTCTCATTGTTCTCACATAATGCTTGGATTGCCTCAATGGCAGCAAACTGGCACTCTCGGCTCTTGACTTTCATCAGGTCCATCATTGGAGGAATGCCACCCTCGTTCACAAACCCATCTTGATTGGCGCGGTGTGATTGGACAAGCATGCGTATTGTCTTAGCAACTGTTGCTAGGACATGCTTGTTCTTTAAGGTGGACAACAAATCTACAAATGACTTCATTGTGGTCTTGTTATTACCGATCATGGTTTGAATGTCAGAATTTGAGTCTGCAAGGTTCTTCAATGTGCCCAAGACACAACCAACTACCTCTTCATCGTCAACATTTTGCAACAAGTAGATCAGCGCATCAACACCATTGTTGCTTGCTATTATTTCTTTGCTTTTTAGTGTATCAGCAAGCTCACCAAGGAGCATGGAAGCAGTTAGATACAGCGTTCTTTTGGGTTCCTTTAGTTGACTGATAATGGCAGGGACTCCCTCCTCAGCTATTTTCTCTTTGGCTGCTTGGTGACTAACAATATTCAAAAGAATTGACAAAGCATATGTTTTGGCGTCCTCACTGGCACTAGAACCTTTAAGTAAGGCAACGACAGCTTTTACTCCGCCACCCTGTACAAATGGTTCGTGATTTGAAGAACGTTCTTCGAGGGTCAACTCGACTAATGCCTTCGCCGAAGCACTGTCAACATTCTGAGTTGAAAGGCCTTTGATTAGGTCCTTCCATACCAAAATTTTCTCGCTGTTCAATTCTAAAAAGTACTCTAAAATATGAACGTGGCCATTTAATGCCGCCAGAAGCACAGGGCCTTGAGAGGATCKATTGGAGGCGCTTAGATTCGCTCCAAGGTCGACCAAAAGTTGTACAGTTTCGAGAGCACCGCTTGTACATGACAATAGAAATGGCGTACTTTGCTGTCCATCTTTGGTCTCTAAATCCAGCTGGTCTTCTTTGCTCTTTACAAAACGCGAAACACTTTTATAGTAGCCATTAAAAGCTGCATGGTGAATATGTGCCCAGCCATTTTCGTCAAATTCGTCCATAATGGAGTAGAGGTGAAGCTAATTGTTCTTTTCTTTGATAGTTTCATTTACATCGGGAATTCAAATACCCGATACGACTTGTTGTACTACATTATGACCAACTTGTTGAAAATCCAATATTACATCGATGTCCTTTAAGAAATAAGCTTACGACCATTTTTTTGTTTTATGTTTTCCTCGGTAACTCGTTGCTAGGAGCCACTAGCCAAGTTCGGAAGCATCAATCTTCGAGAAAAATTCAATGAATTGTTCAAACTAATGTTCTCTTTTCCACCAGATGTATTAGAAAAAGAGTGGTTCTYCCCTGTCGAACAAGAACTCAAGGTACCAATGTAGATTTTGTAAGCGAAATTTCCTTTGTAAAGTTTACTTTGATCTAATCTTCCTCGGTTTGGTAATCTTCGATCAAACTACCGGCCTCTGATTGGCTGGTTCGAACATCTATTGTTTAAGTCTAAAATCTCTAAAAGCAAAAGCACAGTTGTGACATTTTTCATAATCGCGTATTGCATTGACAATATCAGATATTTCAGAGATATTTCAGAGATATTTTGGATATTCATCGTTACAAGTACTGATGTGAAAATTTGTGGAAGAAACCACAATCTCTATTGTAGATCACAATGGTGCTACCCCATGACATGCCATGATGCCTTTTGAGGGCTCCTTCCCCCTTCGCATACGTTGCATACGCAACGCACACGCATACGTTCCTCATACGCTTTCCGTTCCCCATACGTTTTCCGCATATTGGCATATGCATACGCATTATTTCCCATACTTTTTTACGGTGTTAAACTTATCTTCTTTACACAATACAACTGCATACGCATACGTTCCCCCCTCACTATTTTGCTCAGGCTGATTTTGCTGACAACAACACAATCTCGAGCCCAGAGTCTTCTCGGCTAATGTCAGCGGTATGCTGACGCCGGAAAGACTCTGGAGGAATCGACTGGATCACAGGGAGCCCAAGCAGTGACTTTGAACCTATAATAGTTAAAAAATAAAATTTTACTCAAAAAAATGGTCTACTTTTATTTTATTCAGTGTCACAATGCATTATAAATGGGTTTAAAAAAATATCCCCTACCTATATATATATATATAGTTTGCTGAAGAAGGCCGAAGTGCCGAAACGTTCATTAAAAAGTAGAAAACCTAGTTACAAGTTTCGTGGCTTTTTCTTCATTTATTCTATTTATATATATAGGTATATATATCACTGATACATGTATAAGTAAAGGGGAAGAGATATCAAAGAAAAACGGCGGCAAATTACGCCTAAATTCATAACTAAGACCACATCATAAGGTAAGACAAATGTCTTTTACTTATTTTTTCTTTCAAAAATTTCGTATTTAC